GCCAATAGCTGGCCAAGAGGAGAACCTGTAGCGATTCCATGTATTTGATGGTAGATGATGTCGTTGAAGGAAGATTGAACTGTGAAACTGCATCTAAGTAGCAGTTCTTTTAGGTATGACTTATATATTCCAATGTTCAAGTTGCTGTCATCTGTATATCTACATAGGAAACAGATTTCCTCTTTGAGTGGTACGCTGGAGATCCAACGTGGAGGGATAACATACGTTTTCCGGTCACGTTCAAGTCTCTTATGCAGACGATGACTTAGAAAGTGTCGCGGATAGATAGACTGAATAGCTGTTTTCTTACAGGCTCAAGGGTTTCAGAAAGCAATTTTGCAATGGGATGATAGGGATATCCTGATGTATCCAAATTGGACGAAGTAGCAGGTCAGCTTTGTGAATTTCGGCTACACCATAAAGTCAGAGAAATAATGACTTTGTTGGTCTGAGGTGGTCATGAAAATCTTCTTCGATTAGTCGTCCATTATTCAATCTTTTAAGGACTTTCGTAAGTCGTTGTTCAGTTACTTCGTTTTTATTTCTCTCACTGACACACTTAGAGAACTTGTTATCGTCTGAAATCACGGTCCCTCACATCCATTTATACGTTTCTGTCCATCAGAATCACGCCTGAACACTTTTTTGGACTCGCTATTACTAAATCTTCGTTCTCTTTTAGCCCTTTCAGTTTTTATTTATGTTTCTTGGTTAGGAGGTGATGAATCTCTGTTTTTGTGTTGAGGTATTGGTGATAATAGTCAGCGATAGATGACAGTGGTATATGTTAGTTGGTTGGAGGCAATCCGCAGGAAGACGACAGTCGATAAACATTGGTCCTATTTTCGAGTTACACTTGGTGAAAGTTATCTAGTATTCACTGCAGTCTGCTGAGAATATTTAACTAAAGTAATAGAACAACACTCCAACTTATTCATTTTGACTATCTGAGATAGTCGCGGTTTAGTAGACTAGTATTCTAACTGGGTTATGGTTGAAAGTCAGATGACAATCTGGACCACGGAGGGATTCGAATCAGCGACCACCGAGTTCCCGGCAAATTAACTTTATGATTTGACTATCCAAGATAGCCGTAATCTGGCAGACTAGTATTTTTACTGGATGGTGGTTGAAGTGAAATAAAATTCTGGTCAGCAGTAGGACCTCGTAGCTCAGTTGGTAGAGCACCGGGTCAGTAACCCGGCGGTCGCTGGTAGGAATCCGGCTGCGGTCCAGATTTTCATCTCACCTTCAATAATCACCCAGCACAAATCAACTTTAGACAAATTATCTACCTTTTTACTGGATTGCCATCAAAGTACATTGTAAAAATTAGACTGCTTCTCCAAGTTCTTTTCTTAATGCTAGAGAAAAGCCTCTCAGGACAACAGAGAGAATCCGCAACAGATGTCTTTTCAAATAATTACCTAGATTTTATAATCAGGATTTTGCAAGAATTCATAGTCACAGTAATTGATTCTAAACTGCTCCGAAGCAGTAACTATGAAAAGATTCCACAAACTTTCCGTACTTCTAAAGAGTTTCCTAACTTATCAATCCACGAAACACAACCCGGCGGTCGCTGGTAGGAATCCGGCTGAGGTCCAGATTTTCATCTCACCTTCAATAATCACCCAGCACAAATCAACTTTAGACAAATTATCTACCTTTTTACTGGATTGCCATCAAAGTACATTGTAAAAATTAGACTGCTTCTCCAAGTTCTTTTCTTAATGCTAGAGAAAAGCCTCTCAGGACAACAGAGAGAATCCGCAACAGATGTCTTTTCAAATAATTACCTAGATTTTATAATCAGGATTTTGCAAGAATTCATAGTCACAGTAATTGATTCTAAACTGCTCCGAAGCAGTAACTATGAAAAGATTCCACAAACTTTCCGTACTTCTAAAGAGTTTCCTAACTTATCAATCCACGAAACACAATTTTTTGTCTAAAGAGTGTTATTCAGGGGACTAAACTAAATGTAACTACTTCAAGCGTCTCCCTGAACTTGAACTGTTTACAATCGATACAACGTTTAAGATTAACTGACCAGTATATAGATGAAGCTCTTGCTTTGTTTGGTAGCCATGATATTCCCCCGTCCTAAAATCGGACGAGGTTAAACCTGGTTTCGAATAGTAGCACAAACTTTAAATATCAAGAACGTATTTGGAAGCCATATTTAACTTACAATTAAGGCTCATCCATATTTGAAATTTAGACCTTATATGTACGTAAAAAGTCATATATCCATAATTCAGGTGTTGGTAGCACCTGTTTCGAAAACCTGGCTACCTAAAAAACTACAAGTTTTAGGTTTTTTGTAACCATTTTGGCATCAGGTTTCTAGTTCCTCCAGCGCTTCCGTTTCTTTTGCCTTTTCTTCACGAAACCACTATATAAACCGGGTCCCTTGACAAGCAACTGATCTCATTGTTCCACAGAGCCTAATATCACTTTTAGCAACCTACTCAGAGGGGCCTCATTGTAACCATCCCCGTTACCTCTTCTTATCACGTTCTCAATACTTTTATCAATCAACCTTTAGGTTCCTAGTGGAACATAAGGCTTCAGTAGCACGTCACCACTTCACTCTCTCTTCAACCTGGCTCCACCAATCCCCACAAGCTTTCATTTCTTCCTCACACCATCTCCTCTATGTCACCCTCGTCTCGGACACCCAACTAATCATTTCCTGTTTGCGTTCCACTCGAGGGGCTGACCTGGTGCGTGATGTCCCTAAATGGTCTTCTCAGTGTATGCCCAATCCAATCCATCTCCACTTTCTTCCACTTGGCCGGTTCGTTGCCAGCCAGCCCGTCAGTCAATCAGTCAGACAGCTAGCGAGCCAGAGTCCCTTGTTGCTGATTCTTTCTGGCTATCCACCTGATCTTCAGTGTCAGTATCGAGTGAGCGTAGACAGCTGTTGGCTTGTGCATGTCTGTAGTTTGTTGGAAATGATTTCCGTAACGCGCCAAGTCTCTCAACCATCACATAGAAGTACTGACTGACTTGAATGACATTACTGTTGAAAATCCGGATCTTGTTCACGCTTTATGCTAAGTGCAGTGCAGTTCAGTAGATCTCTACACTAGTTTCAGGTTAATGAAGGCGTCTTGCTTTTGAAATCCTGGCTTTGACTTCTTTATCTGTGCTGCCTGTAGCTAAGACGATGCTGCCCAGGTAGGTGGAAGAGACAACTTCCTTTAGATTTCTCCCGTCGTCTCAATACTGACTCTTTTTATAATCGAGCCTGCATGAAAGTTGCGACGTTAAAGGCAGCCAACTTTAAAGATACACATGGTTTCAGAAATGCTGAGTCAGATATCGCACTGAAGGACAGATCTGTAGAATTAATTGTTTCATGACTCAAAATAGTAAAAGTCACAGAATTTCAATCAATGACAAGTAGCTAAGTAAAACAAGAATGTAAATAAAGTGTAAGTTGAAAATGATGATAGCAAGACAATACTGTTCATAGGTAAAAATAACAACGCCGAAAGTACAATAAACTGAATGGTTGAGTGGAAAGTTAGTAATAGAGTGAGTTTTGTTGATCGCCATATGATAAGATAATTGCTTTGAAGTCATCATTTTAAACTTCATGCTATTATTTGATTGAAGGCTATGCTACTATGGAAACTTCCAGACAAATGGGACCACTCTCAAAGTCTTTGACCTACAGCGTAGCGGAATAATAATCAGGTGTTGTATTTCCATGGTTGGTGGTGACCGAAGCAGGTTGATACCTCACTCCTTTCGTTCTGGTTCAAGGAGTTTATGTGTAAGCAGTTAGTAGGACTTCACTAGCATAGGCCACATGAGAACATTCCTAAGGAAAAAGGGAAGTCATCCCTCTCTCGGTATGATAAACATATCAAAATACAAACTCACATAGTAGTTATTAAAAACTAGTTGGTTGTATTACACTGATGAAAATGATGGATCGTCACAACTATACAATATGAAGTGTACACTCACACAAATCTTCATTCTTTTCGCTTTACATATGTCACTTGAACAATACAATTCAAACACCATGTAGGGTTCGCTTTCACTCATCTGCTTACATGCAAGCCTAAGTTTACTCTTCCAATAAGAGTACTGTCCACCCTCATTTCACTAAGCACATAAGACTTCTAGCATAATGTACGCCTGAAAACATTCCAGTCAGAGTCTAGAGAAGACTTCACTGAAAGAAAACCCTGAGATATATTAATTTTTTCGAACACCAAAGCAACAGGTCTCCTGGATACAAGCTTATTCCAAATGATAAATCTCTGGTGCTAGCTAGTTCGACTAACAAAAATCATCTATTCAAATGATGGGACTGTTAAAAGAACTGCAAGAGCTTTAGGATTTGTCCTGGTGCGAACTTGACAGACGCAAAGACCAATCACTAATTATTCGAACTTGTTATATACCCACGAATACGAGACCAAGGTAGAACACGATAGCGTAGTCGGATGGAATAGTATATTTGGATGGTTATGCCAAAATACCGATGCGTTCCAACTAACTGGCTAGAGAGTCGAATACGAGCAATGCAACGTAACACGACAGCGTGCCAAATGGCCAGGATGCTTGACCGGGTGCCTTCAGCTTAGCGAGTCCAGTTAAACTATCAAGGTCAGCATCAATGTCGAAAGTCGTCAAACCCTAGGCTATTGATTTTGGGGAAGTGTATGACGCTACAGATCACTCCCCCCCTAGTGGGTTCGTGAGGACCCTAAGACGATACCAGCCGGAAGTAAAAACCCAGTGGTTTCTCCACTGGTAAAACTCTTCCGATGGGCTGACTGCGTGAGGTGGCCCCTGGTTGTCTGAACCTTATTCTAGGGTGTCGTGGCGATTAAATAAATAAAATACAATAAATGGAATTGTACGTCGGTCGCGGTCATCTGTTCCTTTCGACGTTCCGTCCAGTGCTCGTTGCACCTGGAATATAAATAAAAGTCTTTAATACCACGAAAACGTTGCGTAAAAATGGGAATTATTTATATATCAACATATCGAAAAATAAAAATTTACGCTTATCTTTACCGTTTTTTTTAAAATTTCATTACATGGTAAATAAAAATTGATATAAAAAGGCAAAGTATACGAGGGTTTGTATTGATGTATCGGGTAGGAGTCCGGAGTTGTTTTGGCGTTGAGCCTTCGGTAATCACCGGTTGGACGCCAGTCACTGCTATCCTTTTGGGAACCATGTGCAATGGCGATGCCCAAGGATTGTTCGACGGTCTGATAATGCCCAGGTCGAGCATGTGGTCGAATTCATTTTTCGCCGTTTGGAGCTTATCGGGGGCTAGACGGCGCGCTTTGGATGCCACAGGTGGACCTGTGGTTGTGACGTGATGCATAACATTGCTGGTTATGCACGGAAGAGTGTGCTTCGGTTGCTGTAACTCTGGATATTTCTCCAGAACTGCCTGGTAGGACGCGTCGTCTGATTGTTTAGTCCTAACGATGGCTAAACTCGGACCTACATAGGTGGTGCCGCCAATAGATAACTTTGTGCTGTTATCTATCAGTCGTCGACGGCGAGCATCTACGAGTAGATCGTAATGGTTTAGCAAATCTATGCCAATGATGGGCATAGAGACGTCTGCCAGGAGGAAAATCCAGTGGATAGGTTTGCGTAAACCTAAGTTGAGGTAGGCATACCGTCTCCCGAATGTCGCGATTGCCTTGCCGTTGGCTGCTTGAAGATTGAAGGATGGGTCAAGATGACGCTCCTTTGTCGTTGCTGGAAGAACGCTAACTTCTGCGCCGGTGTCGACGAGGTAGCGGACTTTCGTTTTAATATCGGTGACGTAGAGCAAACGGCTTTTTCCGCCGGCTACGGTTGCCGTGAGCACGTGCCGGCGTGACCGTTTCCCGAGTTCGGGTCCTTCTTAAAACGGCATGGTTTACGACATTTTCTGGCTTCATCCCCGTAAGTGTTATGAAACCAGCACCATTCAGGGTTTTCCACCCTGTTGGGTTTCGTTTTAGGGCTACCACGCGACTTGCTGCGATGCGCCAAGGTGCGTTTCCGTGAAGTGCTACGTGATCTAGGACTTCGAGATCGTAGCAACCGTTTCACAGAGTTGCACAACTTGGTCACCTCTGAATCCTGGCGCTCTGTTTTGTCGCAGATAGAATATACGTTGGAGACTGGTCTGCTGGATATCTCCAGTATTTTATCTGCTGAGGCTGCCAGGTCGTCGAGTGGGACTGACTGGAGTGTCACCAACACGGTTTGCACCGGTTGTGGTAGTTTCGAGAGAAATAGTTCTCGGAAGAAACCATCGTCAAATGTTCGTGCACCGATTACTTCTCGCATGCGTGCGAGGACTTCAGTAGCTGAGTGGCTGCCTAGCTCGATGTTACGAAGCAATTCGTCTAGACGTTGGCGATCTGTGAGATCGCTTTTCTTCAAGAGTGCGGCCTTTAGAAGTGCATAAGGGTCACTTACTTCAGGATTAAACATGTTTGCTGTAACATACCTGTTTAATTCTCGCGGTAGTGACCGTATGACAGCAAGAAATCGAGAATGAGGATCTGAGACACCCTGTTCTCGAAAATCTGCCTCGGCATACAGAAACCATGTTTCTGCATTGTCTGGCCAATATGGCACGAGTTGGATCGTGTTCGTAGTCGGCTTAATACGAATAAGCTTGGGAGTGTGGTCGGACATGAGAAAGTGTAGTAAATGGATATATAAATGTTATCGAAATGAAAACAATAAACAAATATAAAATGGAACAGGCTCACCAATTCAATACTTGTTATTGGTCGGGATATGTGATCACGTCGGGTGATCACGTCGGGCTCACCAATTTAGGATTTGTCCTGGTGCGAACTTGACAGACGCAAAGACCAATCACTAATTATTCGAACTTGTTATATACCCACGAATACGAGACCAAGGAAGAACACGATAGCGTAGTCGGATGGAATAGTATATTTGGATGGTTATGCCAAAATACCGATGCGTTCCAACTAACTGGCTAGAGAGTCGAATACGAGCAATGCAACGTAACACGACAGCGTGCCAAATGGCGAGGATGCTTGACCGGGTGCCTTCAGCTTAGCGAGTCCAGTTAAACTATCAAGGTCAGCATCAATGTCGAAAGTCGTCAAACCCTAGGCTATTGATTTTGGGGAAGTGTATGACGCTACAAGCTAACAATTGATGAAAAAGTCATGCTTTTATTAACCAGAAAAACAAATCCATTTGTAATTGAACAGACCTCTCAGTTAGAGGTTTAGTTTACTTTTAGTGTCTGTGTATACAGAATGGATATAGCCTTTCACAGGTTCCCTTGGGCTTCCAGATGGTGCTTTATTATTCATTACTAACCAACAGTAGTCACTACTTCAGATTGCTTTTGGTACTTATTTTGTTATTTAAATGCTTACTTAACCATCTTTTTTTCTCTTCACGATTCATAGAGAGCCCCACCGATAAATTTATGCCCTTTCCTTTACACGCTACATCACAACGAATTACCTGCAAGCTACATGAAAACCTATGAACATCTGGTTGTCACGTACGCATGCCATAGATAACATGTAGACTACTTCTGAAGTAACGAATGACATTACCGAAGTGACAAACATATCCTAAACATTCTCAAAATGTCAGTCGATCTTTTCAGACATCGTTGATCGAGATAACTCGATGTGAATATTTCATCCAATAGCTTTTTGTCTACCCGGTATATCCTTAACAGAATATTTCCATTAATTATCATTTTGACTATCTGAGATAGGTGTGGTTTAGCAGATTAGTACCAATACTATTTGATGGCTGAAGGTGAAATTGAAATTTGGACGGCGGTGGGATTCGAACCAGCTACCACCTCGTAAATCAGCTGGTACAGCATCGGACCAGAAACCTATTGACTGTTGGTTTGAATCCCTCCATTTCACCTTCAATCATCACACAACATTTCTATCAATATTATATATATATATATATATATATATATATACATATATATATATATATATATATATATATATATATATATATATATATATATATATATATATATATATATAACTACTTCATGCACACAAACTAAGTGGCATAACGATAAGACTATTTGGGGTGGAAAACAAGTTCAGAGTAGCCTAACACAACAGAGAGACGCTGACATGTATCATTCTTGGTTGACGAAGTCAACTGATACTTTTATGACACAAAATTAAGGTACTATTAATCTTCGCTCTGCATAGATGTCTTCCATAATCTTGCTGTTGGTGAAGATCAAATCAACATTCCAATAAATATGCCTTAACCTTGTTTTCTTATCTCAAATCCGTCATTATGGAGAGTTGAATTATTAAAGAATGAAACCAATTAGTAAATATCATGTCTGGAGTTCATACCGAAATAGACATTTTTCAGAATATGGCAGATATTCTTAATCAGACCACTATCCAATTCAATTCAGTAACAGTAATAAGGACAGCTGGTAACCTGCATCCAAAGATTAACCAAAGCCAATGGACTTCTATAACCTCATCCAAATTTATTGGCTCAAGAAGTTTCATTGCGCCTGGCTCTGACAATGATGAATAGCAAAAGCAGCTGAGACGTAAGATAACTGACAGTTTTCGTAATAATTACTAACAGTGGTCGGTGGCGGTAGGAAAAGAGACAGAGAGGGTATTGGCGTTGAGTAGAACTCGGTAATTATTTACTCTTAGACCCACACAGACATTCAAGAAACTGGCAAGAAGAAGACGATGATTAGTGAGACCATCATTATAAAGGGTATGTCAGTGGCAATATCTAAATACAGACGGCAAGAACGTTGGCCGGAACACTTTGAAAAACAGCTCAGTTGGCTTAAGGCCTCGTTTCAGTTGTTCAACATCCAGTACAAACCTCCATTTCTTTTAGAAGATGAGAAGACTGTCTAAAATCTGAATGATAAAAGCAGGAGGACCAGGAGGTTTACAAGCAGAAATAGTGAAGGGTGGAGGCAAACAAATACTGAATAGGGCAGCGGAGGAGTTAGGAAATGTATAGAGATCGGAATGGTATTGTGGAAGTGTCTGACTACCAATGAATTAAATAGCAAGTATGAAGTGTTGATTAAGGCTCACCAACCGAACTCACGCGGTGGCTTATAGCTTAGTGTAGTAGCAGCCAGTTATGGCCACTAAAAACGAACTCCTTCACCATTACCATTGAAATTAGTTTAGAAGTGCTGGTGGATGTATCCTTATGTACCTTCAAATCTTCTTGAACGGAAAAGCTCCTGGTTCACTTGAGCTACTCAAACAACACAGACTAAGTTAGGCTTGCAGTTAAACTGAATTGAAGTCATACCCGGATGAAGTGTAGACTGCTTTGGTGGAGTCCTCGAAAAAACGAGTCAATATCTGTAGACTCTTGTTAGCTTGGCTATCCTAAGGACGTATATGTGTACACTTACCATTATTTTGAAAAGTTCCAACATTTTCAAGAAACTTAGTTTTTCGTAAAATATCCCTCCTCCAAAAGACTTTTGGAAAGTTAGTATCACTCTTTTTCTTCCACTTGTTCTACTGCGTGCCACTACATCTCTCTATGAAAAACTTTGTTGCAATAGATAGCTTCCGAATATTCATATCCACTTCTTCCAAGCAAGATTAGATCAAATAAATATTTTACATTCCAATAATATATACAGGTCAATAAGAAAGCTTTCTCATATTTGAAAGTGAGGTGGAAAAGACTAAAAATGCAACCTTCTAAACGCCTATAGAGAAAACTCAAGTGTTTGACATGCGTCTTGCACCTGACAAACATAAGAAAATGCTTCAGGACTGATATACAAATCGACGACCAAAATCCACTCAGCAACCTTGCCCCCATTCGTGCAACACGCAATGAACCTCACCTATTGTGTGGGGCTAACGATTGATACCACCTGACTACCCAAACCCCGGTAGGTGGAGTAGGGTACGAACCCGTGACCCACTGGTTGAAAACTATCTCCCTAAACAAACGAGCCACAACTCTACAAGACTGATATTCACCAACTCCTAATTCAGAAATAGGCAGTGATTTGCTAGAATGAACTGACCACTTCGCTCACTCGTAATGTTGCATCAGCCTTAATGAACTGGATTGAAGAAATCTCATCTCCGACATTAAACATCCATCTGGCTTTTGTCAACTCACGTCAACCCGTGACATATCCGACTACCTGTTCAACGACGAGCATACTACACTACAGTCCTCTCTGTACTGTCACATCATCGTTGAAACTAGAAGATATAAACACTTTACAGGTTTCTCATTACATGTACTTGTAACGTCGCTTACATGTGGTGAAATAACCATGTGAACAACTTCGAGGTTAGACAGAGGGTACTGGGTGAAGAAGAAAAGTCGGTTAGTGAGCTTGTCAGCGTTCACCGACTAAAGTGACTAGGGTAAGTGTTCCACATATCAGACCACCGCCTATCTCGACATCCAATGATAATCAAAGTAAGGATGGGTAGTAACAAAGCCAAGACAAACCAGAACAATACTTGACACCGATACATTTAGTATCTGACTGTTAGTCTTACCCATGTGGGCTGCCTGACTAGGGTCATTGAGATGCTAGCAATAAATGGTTGGAGACCTCTCATGATATGGCTCAAAACTGGTCACAATGGTAAATATATATTTATCCTGTCGTTTTCTAAATATCGAATATTTCCATTAGTTTTTGCATATCTACTCTCTTCTTTCATGCTCTTTGTTCACCTTAATATCACCTTCTCCATCCCATTATTCTTCTTTTTATGCTGCAGTGAAGTGTGGTGAACTGAAGCGATGGAGTTCTGTGACAGGCCTTACTTTGATTAAATTTGGGGATTTAATGATTTTTCAAGTTGGTATTCATCATGGACTGGCATCGGTTGGAGGAACATTGGAAGCCTGGGAGCACTGGACAGCATCTGTCTCGTCCTATTATGGGACTCATCGACAGCGCGCACCCATGACCTCATCAGGGATCATACTAGGACGAAACAGCTGTTCAGTGCTCCCAAGTTTCCAATGTCCCTCTAACTGATGTCAGTTCATGATGAACAGTAACTTGAAATCTACTTTGACTCGTAATTTCCAGATCACGATGTCTTATCTCCTACAACGCCGCCTTTATCATATCTCGAAAGTACCACCTGCCAGAGTTTCCTAGTCATCTGTCCGACAATTATATTTTTTGGTTATCTTCGGGACCCATCTACCAAGAAATGTCTTCCTTATTTTATACTTAAACACTTAGAGGTTTTTGGCTAAAGTTACTTTGAAAGTGAGAAATATCGAATAACAATTGTCCTATATCTATTTTCCTTTTCGTCCTTTACATACACTTGCAAAACTTAATTATAACTGTAAAGAAGGCTATGTCACCAGTGATAACTTGCCTAGCAAGGTCATTAGGTCGACAGAAAGTAGTCTGTAGAGACGCGTTAAGGACACCACTGCCCCCAGCATCCCTGTAATCTCACGAAGACACAGCATTTACGGAAACCTGTAAATTCATGTAGTCAGTGTGATAGCAATATGCCTCCGACCATCACGTTTGAAAATCGCAACAAAACAAGAAAAATTGGGTTGTCGACGAGCTAGTGTACTTGCACTCGCCGTAGCTGATACCAAAAACAAATCGTACAGTCATTAACAAAAAGTGAATTTCTGACGACTGTGGTCTCTGCAATCCATCAGTACTAAAGACCCACAGGGATTCTGCGTGCAACATTTCCCAAAAATGGATGCTGTGTGACTGTAATAAGTGCGTATCTTGTCACTATTAAAACCTAAAAACAAAGCATCCATGAAAGTAGATGTGCTAAATATGTACAAGACGCTGAAAAATACTCGCTTTAACCACCCAAGAAACTTGGTATATCCTAAGACATTATGAGATACGAGCTCCAAAATCTACCCATAGAGGAAAGTCAGGCCCTATGGACACTAAACCTACAAGTGCATAAGAATCCACCGGTTTACATCGGATGTGAGATACCCACAAAGTCTACACACATCGCGTTGAAACAAACCATACGAACTGAAGAAACAGAGTTACATGAAGCAGCAGTTTGTCGAGGACGACTGGACTAAGGTGAGTACAAGAAACAGTAGACCAAAACATGACATAAGAGCCTTAAAGAGTATCAGAAGCTCTGTTGTTCACAATAGAATTATCACGATGAACATCACTACCATTACACCAACTCCAGGAAGACCCAAAAAACAGATACTTGCCAGTGCAGTAAGAACCGGCAACCAGCATCAGAAGCAGAACCATAACGGCCTCTACACAAGTCACAGCGATGTACTAAGCCCAGAACGTAGCTTCTTAAAATGTGATGTTAGCGGCCTTGGAAGTAAGCTACTGGAGCTCAAGACAGTGTGCACTCATCTACATGCAGGTTTAATTTTTATTACTGAGACGTGGCTCTCGTCAGACATCTTGGGCCAGGATATGGAGGAGTAGCCATATACATTCCAGACACCTTAAAGCCAAGGAGACGACTGATAATGTATTCAGACTCCTTGTTGTGCCTTATCACTATGAATTGCATGAAGTACAGGCAAGGAGTAGTATGTAGGTCTCCGATGTCTACAGCAAAGCATACGGAACATGTTCTCCCCGCGATTTTAGCATCCACCTCAAAGCTTATAAATGTCCTCTCTGGAGACTTCAACATATTGGCACTTAACCCGGAGACATAAATCTTTCGGTCACAGGCTTCGAAATACCTTTATAACAGCAGGACTAAAAGAGAAAGTTGGGGAAATATCCTTTAGGGACAAGATGGGAAAGGATCGTGATATGCTTGCATTCTAACAAATGGAGATGTTTTGGTCGGTGATATGTATCCAACCCCCCTTAGACAAAAGCGATCACTCATAGGTGACCAGGGAATAACTACCAACAGTTGAACCTGAAGCGGCCTATTGTTACTCGAAAGTGAACCACCAGGTCATGAAGGAGGAATTCCTGAACGCACCATGGCCACAAGAATAGCATTCTCTTTTGACAGGTGAAAACTATATACACAAAACGTGGTAGCTGGAGCGCTATCGAAAAGAGTGTGCCAACAGTAAGCAGATGGACACCTCTCAAACGCTCTCAGGTGATGCTTGCGACCCAAAGGCAAATATACAGGGAAAAAAGAGGGCGTGACGAACATCCCTTAAGGAACCCGAATGTCTTAGCTAAAAGGCGTCACGCAACCAATTTTACATAGGCGTTTGCAAAAACAGGTTCAAATATCACAGTAATAAATACAGTCCAACCCAGAAAGTCTATATAGATGTACGTAACGAAGAAAACCGACGAATAACGATTCTAAAGCTTATCACAGGAACGAATGACATAGCTTTGATTAGCATGGTGACTGTGGAACTGTTGGGCAACCGGTTTGATGAGGAGCCCAACACAATAGTCCGTCCACCACTAACGTCCAGAAAAGCAACAGAGTTTCAGAACTACGATACAAAGCTGAGGGAAGCAAAGATTACGTCAGCCAAGTGTTTGAGAAACTAGTCACACTCAGGATAGGAAAATATCCAGTATGTGACGGCATAAGAAATTGTGCCGAAGTGCTAAGCCTCTCCATAGGTAACCTGAAGGGAAAGAACATCGTCCAACACGGCTCCAGAACCAAGCGGTAACGTGACACAACCATCATGACCATTTGGGATGACTGAACCAGTAGATAGGACAACAAACACTCAGTCTAAGTTATCTTCCTGGAATTAGCCAACGATTTTAATAGCAACCAACACTATGCTTCATAAGCTTACCATAAAAGTCACTACAGAAGTGCTCACAGTATGGTTTACAGGTCAGAGAATTCCGCGCTAAAATGAATAGAATTCGGTCAGCCTGAAGTAGACAATGACAGGAGTTTCTCACGGCACAAACCATGAGACATAAACGATCTTCACGCTCAAATCTTCTCGTCTATCTTCCTATTTGTATATGACATTGAGATATAGGGGAATTTAAGTAAAACCTGGCACAGGAGTGTATCGGCTCGAGTCGTCATACTTCGCAGCAGTATACAAAGTACAGGTGGATAGAATTAGACAGATATCAAAGTAGTCAAAGTTATGTGAGAGAATAAACCATTTGAAGTGCAAACATTCAAGCTTAAGATGTTAATGAATATATGTACGCCATTACCACCGGCTTTCAGCCATGTTATTAAGAGTTTTCAACCAATGATTCCATTCGTCTCGACATGGCTGGCTACATCTTCTAACACGGCTCAGACCAACAATCAAGGACTTCATCGACTGGTGTCATGTTTCCGTCTGGTTTTCATCAACCGTCTTTCAACCTAGTCCAGCTTCCCCATGCATGATATGTCGAGGTAGGCAGTGACTCGGCATGCGCAGTTCATAACCAAGTCATCTCAGCCGATGAAGGTTCACAACCTCATCAATCGACTAACCAGTCTGTCTTGCCTAGAACCATTCACCTGACCTCAACATTACTCACACGGTGAATCCACGAAACCTGAGCAATGCTACGAAGTTATCTGTGATCAAAACCCTGTAATCACTTTATATCTTCTACTTTTGACGGCCAGGTCTCACAGCCGTATAACAGGATGGAATGGACTGTAGTGCGGTGTACTCATCTTTTGATAGCTAGTTGTATACCTCGCCACTCAGTCTCAAGGATAATGTATGTTAGCAAATGCCGAACGAACCATCTGTATTCGAGCTGAGATCATCCCGTAACAGGTGATTCAACGCTCCAATTAAGTGAAATGTTCGACATATTCCACCACCATCATCAAACTGGGCGTGGATGCAGTCCAGTCCTGGAGCACCACCTTATATTTGACAGGGGAATGCATGTCAAACATACTCAGATTTCTGCTCAAGGTGTTCAGAAGACTGAATTTTGTCGGCGTATTCACTTAACGAGACAATATTGTCTGCATGTTCCAAGTCAACTAGATGACATCCAGAGAAAGGGCCAATCCTTGTGAAGTCAGACGTTCTCAAAGTTATTTTTCCTATTACTTCCTTATGAAAGGCAATAGCGGGTATCATCAATGAGCACCCTAGGGGAACTCATACATGATTTACTGGGGTTGCGAACTTGGGCAGCTGAGAATGGTTTGTCTCAGCCTGAAGAAGTGCAATGTTGTAACTTCAAACATAGGAGGCGATGAAAACCAGGTTGACCCTCGGCATTTGTTCAATCAACAAGATATCCGCTGAGAATGACTCAGAACTAGACTCTGACATTATTACCATCTATAAGGGAATGGCAGCAAAGGAGAACGCCATCATATGCTTCCTAAGAATGTTACTCGGAGCCCTAACCTTATAATATTTAAAACACATTAGGTCACACTTGAAGGTGTCCAACACGATAACAATTCCTCTTCAAATTAAAGAACAAACACTCGAAGTTGCAGAGAAGGGTGACAAAATTAGTTGTCAATCGATGCCTTAGAGTACACAGGTCGTTCACCTTAGGGTATCATAAGAAACTAGGTTACCTGAAATTTGGCTTCAAGACTATCCGTCAAATGAATCACCCCAACAGGACTACATCGTTGGTCCAAGATGGAGTTACGCGGGGAAACTACCGGCACACTTCACCAGAGGGTTAGGATAGGAATTATATTGATTTTCTCTCAGGTTACACTGTTAGAAGTCGGCACAACTACCCCAAGTTGACGTGATCATTCGAGTGCTCGATAGGTATGTTATTGTCAGTCTGTGTATGGTTAAAGAAAGCAAGAAGCAGCGGTCAAAATTTGAAAATTCAGTTAATTCAGAGCCGATCCCACCCACATCTCAAGTAATCATCAAGCCAGCTTTTAAAGGATCCCCGCAAAACAGTCTGGATCGTCTGCAGGAAGAGCATCCAGAGATTTTGCAAGCCTTAAGGCACACAAGTTGTCTCCCTCCTATAATAGAAAGGATCAAGCGCAACCAGTCGTTCTTGGTACGTTTAGATCCGCCAAACGTCTTTAAAAGCCCAATTTGACCTTCTGCAGAGACCGGAAATCCGTTTAAGTGCTACAACGGCTAAGCCCACCTTCTAATTGTCGCATGATGGGCTATCCCCGGACCTTTTCAGATCACTTACATTGGAAAACGAAGAAACACTGCTACTGGGGAAATCCGATAGGACGACAACCAACCGCATAATATAGACACGGGTTAATAAAAAACTAACCGCCTTGTAATTGTATGACAGGTCAATCAGATCTTGACAAATCTATGCGTTGGAATTCCCCTTGTAATTCATTCCCGAGAGCCGCCTTAGCAACACCTCTATGCTTACGAACTACTATGTGTTCAAGCGCCCCAGAGCTCGAACACCAAGCAGCACGCATACCCAAAACAAACCAGATATAACACCTGACCTATTCCGACACCGGAGCATTATCAAAGTTCGCTAAAAGCACGTACCCTATCCTACGTACCCACAGCCCGATACGCACGCTAGCAGTCACTCAGACGGCAAACACTACACAAAACATCCTAATTATCTGCCGCATCACCGTCCACATAGCACCGCTGACCACACTACACGCAAAACATAACCACAGTGTACGAAACCAACCAAAACAAAATCAAAACACTAAGGAAAAGTAATGCAACGAACAAAATGTATTAGTATTCGGGTATGTACAAAATGCAATCACATCAATCCACTTCCTCCATACCTGCATCATCACCTGTCTCAGTTGGTAGGGTAGTCGCACTACTGTTCTCCGCCACTGCATCCGCAACCTTCGACTCATCATCCGTAGGAATATCTAGACACATACTCACCAACTGGTGGATACGGTTCGCGTAAACCTTCGGATCTTCAAGCGAGAAACCAGAAGTGAGCAGGGCCGTGCTATGCAGAAGATGGACAAGGTCTTTCGCAAGCTTGATAGAATCACCACTGTCGAACAGATCCCTCAGTGCGATGATTATCGGATGCATGGGATTCAGCTCCAAGTGCTTCTTCGCAGCCATGTAACCCATCGTGCTCGTATCCCTCAGCGCCTGTGCCTTCATTATCCTCTCCATGTTCGCCGACCAACCAAACTCAGATGTTACAATGCAACACGGTGAAGTCGTCAAACGGTTCGACACACTCACTTTCTCAACCCGCTTACCCAAGATATCCTGGATAGCCTTGCACAACGGCTCGAACGACGCCTTCTGATCCTCAAACTTCTTCTTCTCTTCCTCATCCTCAGGCAACTGAAGACCCTCCTTCGTCACACACACCAACTTCTTACCGTCGTACTCTCGCAGTTGGGTCACTGCATACTCGTCAATAGGATCAAGCATGTACAACACCTCATAGCCACGCTTACGAAGCACCTCAGTGAACGCAGAGTTGGCCAACGCCTCCTTCGTCTCACCTGTTATATAGTAAATATCCTTCTGGTTCTCCTTCATACGAGACACATAGTCTTTCAGGCTGGTCATCTCATCACCACTAGAGCTGGAGTAGTAACGCAGAAAGTCGGCCAACTTCTTCCTGTTCACACCATCCTCGTGGATACCCAGCTTGATGTTCTTCGAGAACTGCTCATAGAACTTCTTGTAGTCCTCCTTATCCTCCATTATCTCCTCAAACAACTCGATACACTTCTTCACCAGATTCTTACGGATCACCTTCAACACCTTATTCTGCTGCAACACCTCACGACTGATGTTCAACGGCAAGTCCTCACTGTCCACAACACCTCGAACAAAGTTCAGGTACTCAGGGATCAGGTCTTCACAGTTATCCATGATGAACACTCGACGAACATACAACTTGATGTTGTTCCTCTTCTTACGATTCTCAAACAGGTCAAACGGAGCCCGCTTGGGCACAAACAACAACGCTCGGAACTCCAGCTGGCCCTCAACAGAGAAGTGCTTCACCGCAAGGTGATCCTCCCAGTCATTACTCAAAGACTTGTAGAACTCTCCATACTCCTCCTTCGTTATGTCGTCTGGATTACGAGTCCAGATCGGCTTCATCTTATTCAACAACTCCTCGTCAACATACTTCTCAGTCACCTTTTTCTTCTTCTTCTTCTTATCCTTCTCCTCATCCTCTTCGTCTTCATCTAGATCCTCAACCTTAGGCTTCTCCTCATCATCACCCTCACCCTCCGTCTCTTTCGTCTCCTCCTTCTCAGCCTCATCGTCAGACACCTCCTTCGTCCTCTCCTTCTCCACAACCAACTGGATAGGGTAGTTGATGAACTGAGAGTGCTTCTTGATTATCTCACGGATCTTCCTGTCCTCAAGGAACTCCATCTGGTCCTCCTTGAAGTACAGGATCACCTTCGTACCACGACTCGGCAGCTCACTGCTGTCCGGTGTGATCGTGAACGAACCACCCGCTGACGACTCCCACATGTACTGCTCGTCGTCGTTACTCTTCGTCACCACCTGAACACGGTCAGCCACTAGGTAGGCAGAGTAGAAACCAACACCGAACTGACCGATCATAGAGATATCAGCACCAGCCTGCAACGCCTCCATGAACGCCTTCGTACCAGAACACGCAATCGTTCCCAGATTGTTGATCAAATCCGACTTCGTCATACCAATACCCGTATCCAGCACTGTCAGGGTGCCAGCCTCCTTATTCGGAATCAACTTGATGTACATCTCCTTTCCAGAGTCGAGAACTGATGGATCTGTCAGACTCTTGTATCTCAGCTTGTCCAGAGCATCACTTGCATTGGAAATCAACTCTCGAAGAAATATCTCCTTGTTCGAGTAGAATGTGTTGATGATCAAGCTCATAAGCTGAGCAATCTCAGCTTGGAAGGCGAATGTTTCAGGTTGAGGATCTGGACCGGTGCACATTGGTTCGGGCATTTCCACAATATCAAGAACAATGCGTACAGACGGAATAAATGATCGTTTGTCTGTCGCACGCGTTTATAAACAGCCAATCGAATGTTCTAGACTTCATTGATTTACCGCTAAATTTAGAAACTCCACAGCCAATGAAATCACTGCCGAATTATGTGGAATATTCTACAATATTCCGACTTTTTCGATTGGTTGGATTTGTCATGCTGCTTCGTTTTTCGTCAGCGAGTTCTAGAAAGTGGTTCCATGCACTGTTAGATGAATTACTGAGGTTGATAGCTTTATTCATGTTATGCTTGCATTTGAAAGTGGTGATATTTTCTACTTGTTATTAGCTCATACTGGTTGATTTGAGGTATTTGAAAACGGACGTTAATTTTTCCTCCCGTTTGACATTTTTCGGTTTTTTTTTACGTAAAGCACATCAATAGCCTACTTTCTAATAAGCCTTGACTTATCTTAATTGAGTTTTAAGTTTGAGTTGGTATTTGAACTCTCATCATTTTAAGGCTTAAGCTTGGTTTTGGTATTGTCACAACCTAAATCCTTGTGTCCAAATTTGGTCGGATACACGATAACATGGTGACGTGTTCTAACTGATCACACTGCAGTGAATTGTGTGTTGTGAACAACATAGAGATGTTATAGATCAAAAAACAACCATGCGGAAATGATAGCTGTCATTCCAATGCAGTATCAGGTGATGACACTGTTGATGTTAATACACCTGACACAGGATCTCATATTGGACTATTGGATACCATAGTGAGATTACACCAGTTCCGATGCATACTCAACGAAAGAGAAAACGGAGGGAAGCTGGTACACCTATGCCTAAGGATTAACTAAAAGACATTTCCATAAAGGTGGTCAATGAATCTGCATGGATTTTAAGAGACCAAAAATGCTTAACTCTCCAATGCTGCGATTCGCAGATTATGTAAGGATTTGGAGGACCATACGCAGTAGTGCTGATATGTATGCACTTAAAGCGGATGTCGATGAAGTATTAGGTTGGTTCAAACGTTGCTGGAAATCAACTGTAGTAAGAGTGCAATAATGCATATTGATCATGGCAACTGTTCTCAGTACTCCGTTGATGGTACACCACTATTCTAGTCTTTGGACTGAAAGACTTGGGTGTCATCACTAGTCGTCATTTGAAAACTTTGGCGAACTGTAATACAGTTGCAGCAAAGAACTTCCGTGTATTACGGTCCATCCACAGAGCTTTCAAAAGTTTTGATCAGGACATGTTGAGAATACTGTATTTTACTTACGTTAGACCTCACTTGGAATACTGCATTCTGGCGGCCATCCTATGTCTAAATAAGGATGCTGACGTACTCGGACGTGTTCAGAGGGTAGGTACTAAGCTTGTGGCAGGCCTTTCGAATCTGTCCTACGAGGAAAGACTAGATCTGCTAAACTTATTCCCACTGTCTTATCGTAGAAAACGAGGTAATCTCATACTGGCATTTCGTATCCTTAATAATGACTTCGGTACTGATATGTCCTATCTTTTCTCCCCTGCTAGGATTGACTATCTTCGAGGACATCACAAGAATATTCAAAAACCACGATCGGATCAACTTACTGTGAATCTCCGTTTCTCCCATCGTGTAGTCAACGTCTGGAACTCCTTATAGCAGCAAGAAGTATCAGCACCTTCTGTCAACCCGTTCAAGGAGAAACTAGATCTTCACAGAGATATCCTCTGTAAGGATTAACACAGGCCATCTGGCTTAATTTCTTTATAGTTGAAATCTGAACTGCAGCTGCCTTAGTGCAGTGAGTTTGCAGCTTAGTGTTAGTGGTTGAGTTGAATGTAGACCGATCTGGTGTATGCGAAGACACTTGTTACTCGTTGAAAGCCTAGTTTTGGCTTGAAATTTCCTAGTTCTGCTTTCTATTTATGTAATGATTAGTGTTATGCAGTAATTCTTTATGGGTTACATTCGCTTAATGCTTTGGACGAGTATTACTACTATTATCGCTTATTATTATTATTAGTCCCTTGGGTTCCTAATGGAACATAGGGCTTCAGTAGCACATCTCCATCCCAATATCTTCTCTGAAATCTTTTGAACCTGGCTCCACGACAGCCCAGAAGTTTTCATTTCCTCCTCGCACGATCTCCTCCATGTCACCTTCACTTAGGACGCCAAACTCGTCGCTTCCCATGGGGGTTCCACTCGAGGGACCGCCCTGACGTGTGATTTCCCCAGTCGACCTTCTCAGTGTATGCCCTATCCATCTCCACTTCCTTCCAGTGCATATTTGTTCAGCGATAGGTTCTTGGTTGGTTCGTTCCCAGAGCCCCTTGTCACTTATTCTTCCTGGCAATCCATCTGATCTTCAGTAGCAAGCCAGCGTAAGCAGTTGTTGATGAATGTCTCTAGTTTATTGGGAATCCCTCTCTTAATGCGCCAAGTCTCTGAACCATACAGAAGCACTGACTTGACTGAGGTTGGTGTCGAAAATCCGGATGTTGTTCCACATGCTGAGTGCAATGCAGATGATCTCCACACTGGTTTCAGGCTAATGAACGCCTGTCTTGCTTTTCCGATTCTGACTTTGACGTCCTCGTCCGTCCCGCCTGTAGTTGAAACAGTGCTGCCTAGATATGTGAAGGAGGTTACAGAAGCACTGACTTGACTGAGGTTGGTGTCGAAAATCCGGATGTTGTTCCACATGCTGAGTGCAATGCAGATGATCTCCACACTGGTTTCAGGCTAATGAACGCCTGTCTTGCTTTTCCGATTCTGACTTTGACGTCCTCGTCCGTCCCGCCTGTAGTTGAAACAGTGCTGCCTAGATATGTGAAGGAGGTTACTTCCTTTAAATTTCTCCCGTTGATGGTAATTGGAGTTTGTTGTTGTTGTTGTTGGTGCAGTATCTTCATCACCTCTGTCTTCTCTATATTCAATTGAAGTCCTGTCTTCGCTGCCCCACCCTACCCTGCCTCTTCTGCCAACTTGTTAGTTTTCGCCTGTAGATCTTCAAGTTTGTGTGACATCAGATACAAGTCATCATTGGCGAAATCCAAATCTTCTAGGTTCTTTCCCGCGATCCAGCCAGCGTATCCCCCTCTTCTCACAGCTCCCCACTCTTGTCTGCTGCATGATCCAGTCTATTCGACCACAATCAGGAATATCATGGGTGATAGTAGGCGGCAGCCTTGTTTAACTCCTGTCTTCTCTGCAAAGGCATCAATGAGCTTCCCATTGTATTGGGAATTACTTGGCTGGTATGTGGCGTCTTCATATAGTTGTTGAATGAGATTGATAAAGGTTGGTGGTATTCCGTAGTGTTGAAGTAACAGTTGCCAAATTACTTCTCGGTCGACGCTGTCAAAGGCCTTCTCAAAGTAGATGAAGTTGAGGTAGAGGGAGTTGAGTTGACTGACATTCTATACTCTGTTCTATGATGATGCGTAGTGTAGCGTCGAAATTTGGTCCACACATGATTTGTACTTCCTAAAGTCAGCCAGACTGTTCCGGTCGTAGTTTTGAACTCAGTGCATCCTTTAGTCTCCCCAGGATGATGCGGCTTAATATTTTGTTTGCGGTGGACAGTGAAAGGAGCACAATTCCGTGCTAGTTCTTGCAAAGACTTGGGTTGCCCTTCTTCGGCAGTTTGACAAGTTAACCCTTCTTCCAATCAGTGGCCAGCTACCTTCTCTTCCTTCCACACCTTCTGCAATAATGGTGTGGTATGAGCATGTCCACTGTTGTCTCTGTGTTTGTTTTCAGTGCTTGTGGTGGGATTCCATCTGGTCCTACTGCTTTCCCGCATTTCAGTGGCTTTATGGCATTCAGGACTTCGACTTATGTTGGAGGATTTATGTTCACTTGTAGTTCTGTGGCTGGGCTGCAGGTGGTATATCTGGAAGAAGTGCAGGTGGTGGTGGTGGTGGTCGATTCAAGAGCTTCTTGAAGTGGTCGGCCCTTCGTTTCCTTTGTTTCTCTTCTTTGATAATTAAATTTCCTTCATCATCTTTCATTGGTTTCATCTGTGCTGTGTTGATCTCTTCCGTTCCGGATAGTAATCTGAATATTTGATACAATGTTGTCAGGTCTGTCTTACGTACAGTCTGTTCTGCTTCACTTGCCAGTGTTTCGTAGAAGTGTCTTTTGTCTTTCCGTGCACTCTTCTTCACTTCTTTGTCCAGTGTCTTATATGTTGTACTCAGATTCTCTTCTTGTTGTGCATCCTTGCACTGGTTTATCTTCTGTTTCACCATCCTCCTCTCCTCTGTCAGCTTCCATGTGTTCGTTGACATCCACCCCTTATCTTCTTTCTTCTTCCTTCCTAGTGCTGTGTGCAGGTTTCTTTCCACATAGCTTCCAAGGAGTTCCAGTGGCCATCCACACAGGTTTCTTCAAGAATGTAGCTCAGTGTCTCTCATTTTTTCCTGATAACTGGCTGACGTGGAGATTTTCTTTGTAGTTTCGTCCTTCAGTTTCCGAGTGTTGTATTTGAACTATGATCTATCACCAACTTCCTTGAGGGCTTTTAACTTGCACTAGATAGTGGTCTGAACCTACATCTGCTCCTCTTCTTGACCTTGTGTCAAGTAGGCTGTGTCTCCATCTTTTTGAGATTGGGATAAAGTCGGTCTGGTTTTTAGTGTTCCTAGTATCTGGTGAAATCCATGTCGCTTTGTGGATATCCTTGTGCTTGAACACAGTGCCTTCAATCACCAAATTGTTGAATGCATAGAAGTCTGCAAACAGTTCTCCACTCTCGTTCATTTTACTGAATGCTTCTCAACCCGTGGTTAGTTCTCTTCCTCTGTTATCTGCTCTCAGTTTGGTATTCATGTCGCCCATTAGAATTTTGATATCGCCAACTGACGTCATGTCCAGTGTTGATTGCAGTTGTCTGTAGAATTCCTCCTTCTCCTCTTGATCCGCCTTGTTTGTAGGTGCATAGTGTAGCATTGTATGACTGTAACTTTGAGTTGAACCTTGCTGTCATGATCCTGGAGGAGATTAGTTCCCACTGCATGCGAGTCTTCGATGCTGTAGGGGACATCATGATAGCCACTCCCTCAGTGTGCACGTGGTTGTCGTCTGTGTGACAATATCGGAGTAGATTATTGATTCTCCAGTTGACAGTTTGAAGAGTCCACTCCCATTCCATCTGCTTTCGCAAATTCCATGCACTTCAGTATGATACCTTCTCATCTCGTTTGCAATCTGGGCTGCCTTGCTGGGTTCAAACATGGTGCGGACATTCCATGTCCCCACGTTTACTTTCACTTTCATCTAGAGAAGACACATTGGCCAATTGGATTCCCAAATGCTTTCACCAACCGGGGTCATTTCGCCTCTCCGGTTCCAGCGAGGAATAAATTTGTTATTTTTTGTATTTCGTTTGTGCTTTGAAGTTTCTTTAGTGGTTGGATTTGTTTTCCGGGGTATGGTTGCTAGCCCTATGCCCTACCTTCCCTCTTTACCCGGGCTTGGGACCGGCTAGTAACTAGTGAACTGGTTCACCAGTCGAGGTTTTGGACGAGTATACTAGCTTGTATTTTAGCGTATATCGTAGAATACTTATAGAAGTGATATGGGACTGTTAGCTGTGTAATTTGTCGTAGATATATCTTGTGTATATGCTGTTTGTGCATGAATATTGCTGTTGTTTACCGTGTCATTGAAGGAATACAGCCACTTCTGCCAAGTTCGTAAGGTGCTGAGTATTAGGAGGTTTTGGCGAACTCACACCCTCATGAGTGTCTTTTTTCATTGTCTGCTGTCCCTTCTATCTGTCACTGCCACCTCTCCCTTGATCAAATGTAACGTATTTATTGAATGTTTTTGGTGCAGCAGCTATAATGATTTTACGAGTTGTCTTTTTGCTTGCTGCTATTTACCTTAAATGTCTGCTGTTAACTGCCTTCATCCGATGTGGTTGTCTGTATTCTAAGTGGAATTTATGTTGTGCCGTGTGCATCAAAATCTAGTCATTGAGGATGGCTACTTAAAGCTTGACATGTGATGGTATATTACATACATGAAGTATTGTAATGTGGATTATCTATTTTGAGGCAAGATCACGAAGAATTTGGAATTTGCACCAAACGTCAACAGCCGGCTTAGATGAAGGACGAATTTATAGTTAGTAGGGGTATTATTCATATTAGTTCATTTGCAGAGTGTAGACACGTATTGGACTTTATGTGTTCTGTACACTGATGCATTTTAATATACTGAGTGACATTTAGAGCAGAAATTATTGCTGATAAGCATCATTTTATGATCATCGACAAAACTTTCGTTCAGTAAACAAAACTATATCAATATGTAGTCGATAAAATCGATAAATTCAATACAGTTATTTTGCACTGGATCTCCTTTGTTTTACACCTTTATGAATCCCTGCGTTTAGAAATGGTATGGCTGGTAACCTGAACATGGTTTGTTCTTAGAAAGATCTATTGTATTATATGTTTACAATGTTAGGGTAACCTAAGATGTAGTTCAACGGCATTGATTTCATTAAGTGTCTTTATAAGCGAGGAGTATTGATTTGAAAGTAAAGACTGTAAGAAAGACTAGAGAATTTGACGGTTGTATATAATATTACCTACCCCATTGAGAGAATAGCCGTCTGCCGTGGTAATAACCACCCATGTGCTTACACCACGTACTTTATGGTATTCATACAGTCAGAAGGATCTTTAACTTACCAACCAGTAGTTTCACGTGCCTTGAATCTCTAGATTAGTCAGACACTGTTTCTCAGGGTTCTTCTGATTTTGAGACCGAACTAGCTGCATGTATGCTTATAATATTTCTTTGGGGAAAACCACCTCTATATGACTTCAAATCTCCTAATCCCTGAACAGGAAGAAGTTTATTGTAGAGTTTAGGCATGTGACACTGTCTCTTCAAGTGGTACCCTTTACGTGACTTTCAGTTGTATGCCTTGACCAGTCCAGTCGAAACCGAGATACAACTCAGTAACCCTATGCAATTTCATTCTGCTTGCAACAGGCCACACACACGTCAATGTTAATGATACTAACTAATGGCCAAGACCTTCGTGGTTGATATGGGCGGTTGAAACCGTGATCTGGAAATTACGAGTCAAAGTAGATTTCAAGTTACTGTTCATCATGAACTGACATCAGTTAGAGGGACATTGGAAACTTGGGAGCACTGAACAGCTGTTTCGTCCTAGTATGATCCCTGATGAGGTCATGGGTGCGCGCTGTCGATGAGTCCCATAATAGGACGAGACAGATGCTGTCCAGTGCTCCCAGGCTTCCAATGTTCCTCCAACCGATGCCAGTCCATGATGAATACCAACTTGAAAAATCATTAAATCCCCAAATTTAATCAAAGTAAGGCCTGTCACAGAACTCCATCGCTTCAGTTCACCACACTTCACTGCAGCATAAAAAGAAGAATAATGGGATGGAGAAGGTGATATTAAGGTGAACAAAGAGCATGAAAGAAGAGAGTAGATATGCAAAAACTAATGGAAATATTCGATATTTAGAAAACGACAGGATAAATATATATTTACCATTGTGACCAGTTTTGAGCCATATCATGAGAGGTCTCCAACCATTTATTGCTAGCATCTCAATGACCCTAGTCAGGCAGCCCACATGGGTAAGACTAACAGTCAGATACTAAATGTATCGGTGTCAAGTATTGTTCTGGTTTGTCTTGGCTTTGTTACTACCCATCCTTACTTTGATTATCATTGGATGTCGAGATAGGCGGTGGTCTGATATGTGGAACACTTACCCTAGTCACTTTAGTCGGTGAACGCTGACAAGCTCACTAACCGACTTTTCTTCTTCACCCAGTACCCTCTGTCTAACCTCGAAGTTGTTCACATGGTTATTTCACCACATGTAAGCGACGTTACAAGTACATGTAATGAGAAACCTGTAAAGTGTTTATATCTTCTAGTTTCAACGATGATGTGACAGTACAGAGAGGACTGTAGTGTAGTATGCTCGTCGTTGAACAGGTAGTCGGATATGTCACGGGTTGACGTGAGTTGACAAAAGCCAGATGGATGTTTAATGTCGGAGATGAGATTTCTTCAATCCAGTTCATTAAGGCTGATGCAACATTACGAGTGAGCGAAGTGGTCAGTTCATTCTAGCAAATCACTGCCTATTTCTGAATTAGGAGTTGGTGAATATCAGTCTTGTAGAGTTGTGGCTCGTTTGTTTAGGGAGATAGTTTTCAACCAGTGGGTCACGGGTTCGTACCCTACTCCACCTACCGGGGTTTGGGTAGTCAGGTGGTATCAATCGTTAGCCCCACACAATAGGTGAGGTTCATTGCGTGTTGCACGAATGGGGGCAAGGTTGCTGAGTGGATTTTGGTCGTCGATTTGTATATCAGTCCTGAAGCATTTTCTTATGTTTGTCAGGTGCAAGACGCATGTCAAACACTTGAGTTTTCTCTATAGGCGTTTAGAAGGTTGCATTTTTAGTCTTTTCCACCTCACTTTCAAATATGAGAAAGCTTTCTTATTGACCTGTATATATTATTGGAATGTAAAATATTTATTTGATCTAATCTTGCTTGGAAGAAGTGGATATGAATATTCGGAAGCTATCTATTGCAACAAAGTTTTTCATAGAGAGATGTAGTGGCACGCAGTAGAACAAGTGGAAGAAAAAGAGTGATACTAACTTTCCAAAAGTCTTTTGGAGGAGGGATATTTTACGAAAAACTAAGTTTCTTGAAAATGTTGGAACTTTTCAAAATAATGGTAAGTGTACACATATACGTCCTTAGGATAGCCAAGCTAACAAGAGTCTACAGATATTGACTCGTTTTTTCGAGGACTCCACCAAAGCAGTCTACACTTCATCCGGGTATGACTTCAATTCAGTTTAACTGCAAGCCTAACTTAGTCTGTGTTGTTTGAGTAGCTCAAGTGAACCAGGAGCTTTTCCGTTCAAGAAGATTTGAAGGTACATAAGGATACATCCACCAGCACTTCTAAACTAATTTCAATGGTAATGGTGAAGGAGTTCGTTTTTAGTGGCCATAACTGGCTGCTACTACACTAAGCTATAAGCCACCGCGTGAGTTCGGTTGGTGAGCCTTAATCAACACTTCATACTTGCTATTTAATTCATTGGTAGTCAGACACTTCCACAATACCATTCCGATCTCTATACATTTCCTAACTCCTCCGCTGCCCTATTCAGTATTTGTTTGCCTCCACCCTTCACTATTTCTGCTTGTAAACCTCCTGGTCCTCCTGCTTTTATCATTCAGATTTTAGACAGTCTTCTCATCTTCTAAAAGAAATGGAGGTTTGTACTGGATGTTGAACAACTGAAACGAGGCCTTAAGCCAACTGAGCTGTTTTTCAAAGTGTTCCGGCCAACGTTCTTGCCGTCTGTATTTAGATATTGCCACTGACATACCCTTTATAATGATGGTCTCACTAATCATCGTCTTCTTCTTGCCAGTTTCTTGAATGTCTGTGTGGGTCTAAGAGTAAATAATTACCGAGTTCTACTCAACGCCAATACCCTCTCTGTCTCTTTTCCTACCGCCACCGACCACTGTTAGTAA